TAGTCACCAGAATGGAGGTGCTCAGACAACAAGGGACCAATGAACAGCTACCAAAAGAAAAGAATGACCATTCCTTAATCTCTGCGGTTCTGCCAGGCATTTGTGGCCACTCCTATCCTTCCCCTCCTTGGTCTCAAGCAAGATGGCTGCTAATGGAGTAACTGAGTGCCCTGAACTAGAAAGCAATGGATTGCTTTCTTCTGCCACAAATTCCCCCAGCTGTAAGCCTTCCAACCTTATAAATATTCCTTTATATGTAGTTCAGAGTTCTGGGACCATCCCCTGAGCCTGCTTGGTTGGGTATTGTGTGTTGTTGCTGGTGGAGCTCCTTACTGCACTTCCACCCAATCTGCCATCTTGTTTGTTCTCTCCTTGATAAAGCCTTTTGATGAACATAAGTCTTTAATTTTCAGGAGGTCCCAGTGATCTAGTTTATCTTCTGTTGTTTTTATTTTTATATGGCTGGTCTGCTTATGTCCTATCTACCAGTGCTCTTCAGTGGGATATGCACACAAACTGCAACCACTTTGCTATCCTCTTAATGCAGAGGCTGCTATAGTAAAGTCTGAGGTGGGGCTTGAGAGTCTCCATTTCCAATAAGCACCCGACACTTTGAATGGCAAGCTTTTATACATGTTTTCTTTTGTTTAAGAACATTTTATATATTTAGAATACAGACAGTTCCTGAGTTTTAAATATCTGAGTTACCTACAACACATAGTTACAAAGCAACGTCCATAAAGCCAGTTACTTTAAAAATTTGTGGTTTGTGATAACATACAGTGGTTTGTGATAACAAACACATGCTATTTTACAACACACATCACACATGAAACCCTTATTAGTATTATTATGGTATTTTTATGTTAAAGACATATATCTAGAAATGTTTCTTTAATGTTTTTATGCATAGAAAAGTATACTACACACAATATACTAAAACATTTGATTAACTGATTTTAGATATGAACCATGCCTTATTGTTCCAATTTACATACAAATTAGACTTAATGCCAGACTTAGGAACTGAACTTGTTCATAACTCAGGAGCTGCCTGAATTATGCATTGATAGATAAGATGTAATATTTTTCTACATTGTCATTTAACTTCATTTATGATAATCTTTGTCCTGGTTTTTTTGTTTGTTTGTAGTAGCTCAATCTGATATGTTCCTTTCTGACTTCTGGATTTCAGGTCTACCCTCACTCTTCCATAACTTTAAAAAAAATTTTTTTTTGTGAATTATGTGATTGTTTACATGGGAGAACATTAGTTTTACATTCATCCCATTGTATATCTTTTCATTGTCATGGTTATAATCCCCTCCATGCATCATCAACCAACCAAAGGGGCCAGCCTGTCCCGCCCCCCAGTCGTCAGTACACAGCCCCCACCCCCACCCCCGGGTCGAGAGTCCCCAGCCACTCCATCTTTCCACATCATGGTCTCTGCCTCCATCTCTGGTGTCACTATTTCTCTGGGTAGGGTCCCGCAATCCACTCTTCTCCCTTGATAGTCCCAGGGACCTCCGCTCCTGGACTACAAAATCAATCATTCCCCTCCTTTTGCTACAAAACAGCTAACTTTACATTTCCAATCCTCCTCACAGTCATTCCTGATAACAGTTATTCACTATTGTACCACTTGTCCTTTCATCAGCCCCACCTAGACAGATTGGATGCTACTCAGAGGAGAGTCTACCTTCCTCCACACCCTCTGGATGTAGGCTTCTTCTTGAAAGCTTGTAAGCCAGTCACTTTTTGCCTCTGTAGCCCCCATATTTTGGGTAGCCAATGTCCAAGTTGCCCATCCCTATCTACTCTGTGTATGGAGGGGGTGGGAATGATCCTTGTTGTAAAGATTTGTTCCCTCTTTTGAGCTACTGCATCCATAGGTATAGGTCAAGTTCATCAAATTGTATCAGATTACTCTTTTTTTCCTCTTCTTTCTTCTTCTAGTTGAGCTCTGATCATCCAGTCATTGAAGCAATGTCAAGTGGGTGTTATCTGCAAGTGTGGGTGTTCTTGTGCATATGCCCTCTCTTCCTGTCAGCTGGATGCTTCCACTCTAGTCCTCTGTGGCTGTGTCATCTGCCATAACTTTTAATGACAGCTTCACCCTTATTCCTTTCCCTCTCACTTTCATGTCCTTACACTAATTGCCACTACTGTTTTGTATATACAGAGAGTAAAACCAGATAGCATGCTGTCACAAACAGAAGTAAAGCAAAAGTAAGGATTAGGGCTGCTGGTGTTCAGTTCTGCTCTGTGTTTTTTCTACTACAGGCAACAGATGCCCTTTATGAGGTGTTTATGGGAAACAGGCTTCGAGCAGCTACATTCCGACTCTTTCCTCAGCTTCTCATGACACTGCTCATCCAGATCCACCACAGCATCAGCCTGACCATGTCTGATGTCGCTATCCCGAGCAAACTGTACACAGACCAAGAAGTGTCTTCAGAGGTCACCCCTCTGTGGTACTACCTATTGTGATTTCATTTGCTTAACTAACTTTTATGAAGCACTGTGGTGGGCACAAGGATAGCCAAGATGTGGTCCCAACCCTGGGAGAGCTTACAGCCTATTATTGTCATGAAGCATCAAGATGAAATGCCTATGGATTGTTCTGGGCTTTCATTGGTTGACTTTGTTTTTATTGGTACCAAGGCAAATTTGGTTACACGACTCCAGCATCTCTGCAAAATAATGTTTGATGTTTTGCCAGTTCTTTAAAAATCAAGTCGAGACAAAGGCAAGCCAAATAGCTTTAAACCCACCCCAAAACTGCTATCCAGAGTAATTCCTTGCTCTAGATTTTTCATAGGGTGGTATTTTTACTCCCTCAAGGGTTCTCAGTATAAGTTTCTTAGTGACAGTGTAGCACACTGATTTGTTTCAGAAGAAATATTATAATATGGAATATTCTAAAACACCAGAGAAGAGTCAAAAGACCTGAGTTCTGGTTCTTGTCCATCCATTTCACTGGGACCCTAGGCAAATCTTATTTCTGTGTCTCAGTTTCCTTATCTATAAAAAGGATGTCAGGTTCGATCATCTCCAAGGACCTTTCTAGCTTTAAGATTCTCTGATACTATATCTAGTCTACCAGTCCAGTAAATAACATGAGCAAGCAATGAGGGTAAATTATATCTCAGTAAAAACTTTAAAAAATAATAAGAAGTGGATGGGACTCCTGGTGTGGCTTTAAGCACTGGACTGCTAACCACAAGGTTGGTGGTTCAAACCCACCAGCTGCTCCTCAGAAACCCTATACGTGGTTACTGTGAGTCAGTAACTGTGAGTCGACTCCACAGCACTTAACAACAGCAAGCATCCAGATGGTTTATTTTATCATTGATTTGGTTTGGATATGATTTAGCATCCAAAATACTGTATTTTATCATACGTTTCTTTCCAAATTCCTGAAGGAACAAAAATCTAGTTTGATTTCTTTATGCTACAAATGTATGTGAAAGACCTTTCAAGTTATTAAGGGCCTTTAAGGAAATCTAGAATGGAGAAGATTTCAATCAAGTAACTAGCAGTGAGCAGCCCTTCTTAGTGAGTTGTTGTTGTTGTTGTTATGTGCCATCGAGTCGGTTCCGACCCATAGCGACGCTGTATAGGGTTTCCGAGGGTGTAAATCTTTACGGGAGTAGAAAGCCTCATCTTTCTCCCACGGAGCACCTGGTAGTTTCGAACCGCTGACCTTAAGGTTCGCAGCCCGATTCGTAACCACTACGCTACCAGAGCTCCTTAGTGAGAGTGGGGTCTAATTCACCATACTGTTTTTGTTTGATTTAGCTTTGCAATACAGGCTACAAAAACTCTCCTCCTCAGAACATTGTGCTGGCAAGAATTCAGCATCATGGAAAAGAATAAAGGATGGACCCTTTTGGAAGGAAAAGATTGCCATCTTCAGGGAGTATCTCTTCTTGCCAAGTAAGGCCTCCTTGATACCTGCACCTATATGTTGTCTATCAGTGTATTTTTAGGTAATTTTTTCTTCCTTGTAGTCACCATAGCAACTAAGATTTGGGCACATAGTCATAATTCCAGGCAAATGTTTTAGAGACCCTGACCCTGCCATACTCTTATGCACTTGAAGCTGGGCAGAAAGCCTAGGGGCCCCCTGGCCATGAGCCCATGTTCCCTGAATGGCAGCATCTCCAAGAATCATTTTGTTGGTGTTCTGTTTTGCAGTGCTTTGCTGGAAAAAAATCATGTGCTTGCACATAAGGTCATGTACTTGCTGGTCCCTCTTCTTAACCGAGGAAACGATAAGCATAAAATCACATCTGCAGGCTTTTTTGTGGAGGTAAGACTCATTCTTGAGAACCTGGATTCAGGAAGACCATGAAGGTTACGAAGGAGCAGCACTTGACTTCCTAGACTTTGTTAATTTAGTGGCAGGCTGGGTCTATATTAGATGTGGGGTCAAACTGTATTCAGATTTAAGCCTCTTGAAATACTTCTTTCCACTTATTTACTCTTTATTCATCATTTCTTACATATCTACAGTGTAAACATATATGCTGTATAGTAGAGATTTCAGAGGAAAATAAGTATTTGGGAGTTGATGGGAAGGTAGTTCACTTCATGAAAAAAGAGTTTAAAAGTAACTTCTTTGACTGATTTCTTTCAGCTTCTTCAGAGTCCAGTGGCTAGGAGACTGCCCAGCATATACTCTGTTGCCCGACTGAAAGATTGGCTGCATCATGGGAATAATGTCTTCAGAGTGCTTGCCCTGAGGGGAGTGTGCTATCTCCTCAGACACCAGGAGATGGTGAGAGGGGTCTCCTGAACCACTGACTCTTAAGTCATAAATAAAACATACCCCCAAAAGATACCCAAGACACTAGAAGCAGCTGTTGCCCCTGAAGAGGAAAATTTGGTAGCCTGGGACAGGCATGGGTGGGAGAAGGTCTTTTGAATAATTTGAATTTTACACCTATGAAATATGTAAATACTAACTATTAAAAACAACAACTAGAGAAATCAAAAGAAATTAATAAAAAGTCCAAGTCACTTGTATCCCTAATATTTAAAACCTGTAATGTGTATAGGAGGCACCCTCATGCTGGGTAGTGTGGTACAATATACCTTGTACCATACTGCCCTAAGGCAGATGAGATAGGCTACTCTATCTGCCCCCAAGGAGCATGTCATCTAAGACAAAGATCTTTGACATTCATGCTAGAAGAGACCTCATCTTCCACAGGCCCAACTAGAAACCAAGCCTTGGTCAGAAGAGAAGAGTAACCCCTGAGGCTTCAATTTTACCAATTTGGTTCTATGCCTTTTATCTAAAAATGCCTGTATAAATGACAAAATTAATATATGTTAGTTCTGGTAGAATGAATGTATACATGTATATTTGTCTCTTCATTCTGTGTATTTTTTTTTACATGTATGTTTTAATCTTTAAAACTTTGAGACTGCTTCCTTTGGGAGGATCCCAGAAGAACAGAATCATAATCTAGAACAGGCAGGACCCTTAAGGGTCCTCAGTTAAATTCAAGTTGAATTCCTGCCAAGAGATTTTCTAGCCTCAGTTTGGATACCTTCCATAAGACCGGAGCTAGCCATTTGTTTTTCTTTCATTGTTAAGAGAGTTCTTCCTTACAATAAGCCCAAATCCATATGCCTGGACCCTCTCCAATCTAACTCCATTTCTGTCCTGTGAAATGACTTACAACTCTGCTCCCTCTTTGGCATATTAACCTTGCAATCATACCGTCTTTACTTCTCCATTCATAACTAGCCAGCTTTACACAAATTCAACAAACATCAGGTATTAAGTACAAGTGGGGAGATGACATGCTGTCAGGAGAGGTGACGATGTGCTCTATTTGGGCACACAGAGGGAAGATATCAAGAGGCTGTTGCCGTGCGTCTTAGACAGCTTATGTGAAATCGATGAGAAGATTGTGGTGTTGGCTATCCAGATACTTCTGCACTTTGTCCAGTCCATGGAATTCACTACCTTGGCTGCCATGATGAGAACTCTTTTCTCCTTGTTTGGTGATGTAAGATGCAGAAAAGGGGAGGATAATTGACACAGCAATGAGCAGAAATTGGGGTAGTAGTAAGTAAGCTCTGTTTTATATAAGGAGATCTGATAGCATTGTTGTTAGGTGCCGTCAAGTCCATTCCAACTCATAGTGACCCTGAATATGGTTTCCAAGAGTGGCTGGTGAGTTTGAACTGCCAACCTAGTCATTCAAACCGACCATGCAGTTGACTGCTTATCCTTCAGCACCAACCACATCAGGATTCCTCTGATAATATTGTTGTTGTATACATAAAGTGGTAGTACAGAGGTTATATATTGAGCTGCTAACTGCAAGGTCAGCAGTTCTAATATACCAGCTGCTCTGCAGGAGAAATATGAGGCTTTCTGCTCCTATAATGATTTACAGCCTCGGAAACCCTATACAGGGTAGCTATGAGTCGGAATTGACTGCATGACACATCACCACCACCACCACCATTTTATATAATGTACTTTTCCCATTTATATAGTAATTTTTTACTCTCAGAGCAGTTTCAGATCTCCTCTCTTAAGACCCTCCTAGGTAGCCAGTATTTTGGAAGGGTGGTGTTATTGTTCTCATCAAAACAAAACAAAAAAACTGAGACATAAAGACTTGCCAGTGTACCACCCTGTTTCACAGACTGGGGAAGAAGTTCATTTCTCTTAAGAACAATCAGGACTGGGTCAAGATGGTGCACTATACATATGTCCCCATCCGAACTCCTAAAGATTTCTTAAAAAGAAATACATGGAGTGCAATGAACAACATCCTTGGAAGAGTAAAACATACCAAGACTGGGACTTTTAATTGTAACAAAATAACTTGTATGAATGGTTAATACAAGTATCAAGGACAAGTCGTGGTGAAACAAAAGGGCAAGTAGTGCCAAACTATCCGTCTTTCTATCTCTCCAATATCTTTGATTTCTTACCCTTAGCTAAAGACAGCAAAACAGTATCATGTTAGGACTGACTTTTCAAACCAATGACTGACTTTTCAACCCAACTAGAGCTCCTACAAGCTAAGTATAAACACGTTAAGTGAGTCGCTTACCTTTGGATACTTCCATCATAGGTGAGACCTAATGTTCATCGTTTCTCCATGACCCTCTTTGGAGCCTCCATAAAGTCTGTGAAATGCTCAGATAAGAAGTGTGTAGAGAACCAAGTCTTGGACAGCTTGGTCCCACTACTTCTGTATTCTCAGGATGAAAATGATGCAGTAGCTGAGGTAAGGCTACCTTCCGTTTCTTTTATCCTTGAATAACTTCACATCCAGAGCATATCTGCAAATAAGTGCTCTTATCTTTGAAAGTAGGCACTGTGTGATACCCTCTAGCCCAGAGGTACCTTTCAACTGTTTTGCCTAATTGAATTGTGTGAAAAATCTTAATTCTGTATTGCCCTGGTATGATGCTGGATGATAAGCACTGGACAGTTAATCATGCTAACTGTACAATCAGCAGTTCAAACCCACCAGCCAGTCTTGGAAAACCTTTATTAGGGTTGTTATGAGTCAAAACTGACTTGATGACACACAGTAACAATTAGATAGCAAATTATGGCCCTTTGGGGTAAGAATAATCTATTATACCTCTTTTTAGCTCTACTCCAATATTCAGACAAACATAGAATCCTAAGTATATTGTCCAACTCAACGAACTCTTCTTATTGATGACAGTGATACGATGCTTTTGTCTTTCATGTTTCACTTCAAGAACTGCCTCAAGGCCTTGAAACAAATAAACTTCTGCTGGGGCCTAAATCAGAGATAGTAACTTCTTTGACAATCTGGAGGAACCTTTACTGTGCCTTAATCTTCTAATAGTTTCTGCTGTAAGACTTGTGGTTTCCCGTTTAAGCCATCCCATGGATTGGCCAGGTGGCATCACTGAGGGACTCAAGTGTGGCAGCGGTAGTGAGGTTGGCCCAGGATCAGACACTGTTTTGTTCTGCTGTGCATGGGGTCGCTATGAGTCGGTTCTGACTCGATGGCACCTGACAACAACAGCAACAGTCTCAAATAGGTGATGGATGAGAAGTTATATCTTTAGAATTATCTACTATGGGATAATCACTGGACTACAAGGTCAGCAGTTCAAATCTATTATTCACTCCTTAGAAACCCTATCCAGGGTCGCCATGAATTGGAACCAACTCGATGGCAATAAAATAAAAACAAACAACACTTTCAGAAATCTGTCCATGTCCAATTGCTAACTATGACCACCAGTAGTAGCTATCCCAAGGAAGTAGGTTTAGACCACAAGGATTCTGGGAGAATGGGTGAACTATCGCATCTCCTGTGTTCCCTCTTAGAGAAGCAAAAACTCTAGTTCTGCAGGTTCAGAAACAGGTACCTTGTTATGGAGGAAGTTTTATTGCACTGTAGTCATAAGTATGAACTATTAAAGACTTCCAATAAAGTATAGAGCAGGGTTCCCAACCGGGTGGAGGAGGAGGGATTGCCCCTCACCTAGCCTTTAACAACAGGTTAGAGCAGCCAAAGCTCTGGGATTATTTTCATTTAAACTTTGAGCAAACTCTAGCCACTTCTTCCAAGACTCCTCAGAGGGCAGCCCAAGTAGAGAGGAGAGTCTAAACAGACTGGGACTTACTGGTACACAGAATAACATAGCCAACATTTGCCTACTATAAGAAATAAAACATGAGTTGGAGGCAGAGATGATGACGCGGAGTAATGAAGCGACTGGGAACTTTGGACCCAGAGAGGGAAAGAGACTGTGGACAGAAAACTGGGGGGAGGAGGGGGAAGTATAGGGGGCGGGTTTCTGGGATATACTCTTTGGGTGGTTGATGATGCATGGAGGGGATTGGAACCATGGCAATGAGATAATATACGATGGAATGAATGTAAAACTAAAGTTCCCCCATGTAAACGATCATATAATTCACAATAAAACATTAAAAATAAAAAAAGAAATAAAACATTCACCTATCCCTGATTAAATTCCACCTGAGAATTATCATTCTGAATTTGATTTTCATGCTTGTGGCAATATCTTTTGTTTTAAAACTAACATCATTCTATAAATAACTTTCAACAACTGCTTTTTTGTTTACCAGTATTTTTATGAGATTTATCAATGTTGTGTAGCTCCAGTTTATTAGTTTTTACTGCTATATAGTGTTCCATCATGTGAATATCTTGAAATTTATCTCACTCACTTACTCCTGGGTACTTAGATTATTTTCATTAGTTTAAAGAGTGGAACATTCTTGTACACTTGTGTGACTGTTGTGCAAGTGGAATACCTGGGTGTCTTTAGCTTTACTAGATATTCACAAGTTGCTAAACAAAGTGACTGAACTAGTTTATATTCCCATCAGTCTCCAAAGGACTTTTTACTACCCAAATATCTAGTGGAGCTGGGACACAATACATGCTTAGAAACTCATGAGAGAAGTGTTATACAGTGCATGGGAGGCATTCTATGAGCAATGAGCTAAAGAGGAGGCTGAGTTACCAATTTCTGCTCAGGTATCTTGATTAGGAAGGGAACTGTTTAGAGATCCTTTCAACCTAGGAGTTCCACAAGGATGGTGAGAAGAGGGATTTCACTTCCCTGGGTTGAGTGATAGAAAAATGACACAGGACCAGCAAGTTAAGGGTGGGAGCTCGGGGGAGTGGGTATTTCTGCCTGCACATTATACCTGTAGCTCTCACTTCTGCCAACTCTTCTACATCCTACTCTTGAGAACAGTGGAGGTTTTATGGATCACTTTTTTAGGCTGTTTGGGGGAAGACGAAGGAGGAGGGCAGGATTCTGGTTCCTTCTTACCACATCCCTTCATGTCAGTGAGAGTAATTCTGAATTTATCAGTTTTTCATATTGGGCAGTAGTATCAGTTTTACTTGAGGAAAGGTGACCTCCACTAAAAAATGTTTTAAAATGGTGTTTATCTGATCCTCCTTTTCACAGGAAAGCAGGCGAGTCCTAAGTATATGTGCTCAGTTCCTGAAGTGGAAGCTGCCCCAAGAGGTGCACTGCAAAGATCCCTGGTACAGCAAGCCTAATCAAGCTGCAATAATCTGCGACTTTTTTGTATGTGACAATGACGGCTTTGTTAATCCTTTAATATGCTGGCATGCTTTTTTTCTGACAGTTTTTAAGAGAGGAAAATGGCAGAGAAGAATCATTTCTTATCCATTTCCACATCATTTAATATCTATGAACTGTTTTGTAGTGTAGATCTATTTTCCTTTAGTTCCCTCCTAGTTGAATCATAAAATTACTCCTTTATTATCATCCTTCCTCACAAAAACATTGGTGAACTCTGAGGAGCTCCATTAGCCCATGTCAGAGGCTACAAGGGCATGCTAATAGTAAATGCTGAAAAAACTGCTTGTAAACTGAGTTGAAATGGTGTTAGGGGTTGCTTTTATGATGATCTCTAATCCTTTCTTTGAATACAAGTAAATTGTTTCCCCTCCATTGCCCTATCCTGTTTAGGGAAACTCAGTGCAGGCTGCTATGCTATTACAGGGCCTGAGGCCTGATTAGACCTTGCCAAGGTTTCTGCCCGGACCCAGATGACATCCTTTCTTCTGGTGAACTCAACTAAGGGTACTGTGACTGAGCTCAGGGACAGGCACAGGTCAGGGTAGTCAGGGTAACCTTGTGAGGCATATGGTTATTCTATTCCCATTTCCATTTCCTGTTTAGGACCCAGTGTGGACTCTTTTTTAAAAAAATGTTTTATTGTGAATTATGTGATAATTTACATGGGAGAACATTAGCTTTACATTCATCCTACCATATATCGTTTTATTGCCATGATTACAATCCCCTGCATGTATCATCAACCAAGCAAAGGGCCCTGTAAGCCTGCCCCCTGATCATCAGCATACAGCCCCTCTCCCTCTATGGGTCTAGAGTCCCAGTCATTCTATCTCTCCATGTCATCGCCTCTGCCTCCATCTCTGGCATCACTATTTCTCTGGGTAGGGTCCCACATTCTGCTCTTCTCCCTTGATAGTCCCAGGGACCTCCGCTCCTAGACTGCAAAGTTAATCAGTCCCCTCCTTACTATCAAACATCTACCTTTACATTTCCAACTCTCACAGTCAGTCCTGATAGCAATTATTCACTGTTGTACCACAAGAGTCCCCTTCTCCTATCATTCATCCCCTTCTCCTATCATTCAGCCCTACCCAGACAGATTGGAAAATACTCAGTGTAGATTCTATCTTCCTCAGTGCCCTCTGGATCTAGGCTCCCTCTTGAAAGCTTGTAAGCTAGTTACTTCTTGCCTCTGTAGCACCCCCATTTGGGTAGCCAATGTCCAAGTTGCCCATCCCTGTCTGCTCTGTGTATGGAGGGGGTGAGAATGGTCCTCGCTGTAAAGATTTGTTCCCTCTTTTGAACTACTGCATCCATTAGGTATAGGTCAAGTTCATCAAATTGTATCAGATTACATTTTTTTTCTCTCTCTTCTTTCTTCTTCTGGTTGAGTTCTGATCATCCAGTCATTGAAGCCAGGTCAAGTTGGTATTATCTGCATGTATGGGTGTTCTTGTGCGTATGCCCTTACTTCTTATCAGCTAGATGCTTTACTTTCCACTCTAGTGGAAAATAGTCAGTGGCTATGTCACTGACTCTGGCCCAGGAGTCCCAAGGTCTTGCCACACTGCTGGCCAACTAGGTCTCCACTTGGATTCACAGGATTCTATTGAATGTGGTAGGACTTAGCTCACAGTTTCATTGCTGTTTTTCCCTCACTTCCCCTTATCAGTGAGCAGCATAGTCAGACTGCATGCCTGCTTGTGTATTCCCTTTGGGTCTTAGTTTTGGAAGGGGACCACTTGCCTTGATGTCTCCTGGGAGAGCAACTTCTTTGTTCTTATGGTAATCAGTCAGACTGCCGTTACTGTTTTGTAATTTTCCTGTCAGTTTTGTTTCAAGAAGTGTCTTCTGTTCTTCTAGCCACTCCAGGCTGGTCTGCTTGTCCTTTCAAGTGGAATTTCCCACCTCAGAAGATTCTGGATGGGGTTCAGGATTCCACCTATGGTCTTATGTAATACAGAGGCACCACAGGAAACCTTCACTGGGCACATTGTAGCCCCGTTTTAGGTATTCCTATCAGTTATAGGCAGAAGACGAACTTACAAGCTTTCTATGGTGATATTTCTGGCTATTCCTTTCTTTCCCCTCAAGTGTCTATTTTGCAATGGTATGCCAGGGAAACCAAGATTCAAAAGACAGCCAAGCATCTTAACGTTATTTACCCCCTTTTAACCATTCAAACCTGGTGTGGCACTGTGGGCTAATGTGTGGCACTGTGGGCTAATGTGTCAGACGTCATTTGAACTGCAAGGTGGTTCAAGCTTACTAGCTGCTCCTTGGAAACCCTATACAAGGTCACTATGGGTCGGAATGGACTCAACGGCACTTAACAACAACAAACCCATTCAAACCATGCCTCATTACCTGTACCCAGAGCCCTGTTGTTCCATGGTTGTGCATACATCATTATTTCCCTTTGTCCCACTTAGGCCATGCAAACCTGCCTGTTCTTTCATCCGCCTTGTACATCAATTCCCCTCCCCTTTCTTGTGTATTGTCCCCCTCTCCAGCACCCAAACTATTCTGTGTCTATTCCCTACCCTGTGCTCTATCTTCTTCTCCCTCCCCTCACTCCACCCCACACATCCAGTAACCAGCAAATAATTTTTACCCCTCCCTTTTAGTATGGGTTCTTTTTTCTAAGAAAAAGAACAATACAATAGTGGTCCTATAAAGTATTCCTCCTTTTGACTAATTTCACTCAATATAATGTCCTCAAGGTTCACCCATATCATGTGGTGGCTTACAGCTTCCTTGTTGTTCTTCAAGGTAGCGTAATATTCCATTGTGTATATGTACCAGTTTGTTTATCCATTCTTCAATTGATGGGCACTTAGGCGGTCTCCATCTTTTTGCTATTGAAATTAGTGCTGCTATGAACATTGATGTGCATATATCTACTCGTGTTATGGCTCGTAATTCTTGTGGGTAAATACCAAATAGAGGAATGGCTGGATCATTAAGTATTTCTATTTCTAACCTTCTCAGGAAGTGCCATATTGCTTTCCAGAGTGGTTGGACCATTTTGAAATCCCACCAGCAATGCAGGTGTGTTCCAGTCTCTGATTCCTCACCAGCATTTATTTTCTTCTACTTTTTTTATTTTTGCTGTTATTGCTGGTGTGAGATGATACCTCATTGTTTTGATTTGCATCTATGGGTCGGAATCCACTCCACAGCACTTAACAACAACAACAACAATGGCTAGTGATTGTGAACATTTCTTCATATGTTTGTTGGCTGCTCGGATCTCCTCCTTGGTAAAGTGTCTGTTCATGTCCTGTGCCCATTTTATAATTGGGTTATTTGTCTTTTTCTTGTAAAGGTTTCCTATATATTTTAAAAATTAGTCCCTTGTCTGATATGTCGTTGCAAAAGACTTTTTCCCATTCTGTGGGTTCCATTCTAACTCTTTAGGTGAAGTCTTTTGATGCACATAGTTTTTCATTTTTAGTATGTTCCTTACTTTTGTTTTCAAAATGTTTGGTTCTGTGTATTCCCTGAAGTAGAGCCCTCACATTTGTCCCTATTTTTTCATTGATGGCCTTCATAATTCTGGGATTCACATTTAGGTCTTTAATCCATGCTAAGTTGTTTTTTTGTATAAGATGTGAGATAAAGGTCTTGTTTCAGTCTTTTGCATATCTCTTTCCAATTCTGCCAGCACCTTCTGTTGAAGAGACTAGCACCTCCTCATGCAATATATTTAGGCACTTTGTTGAAAATCAGTTGGTTGCATGTGGATGGGTTAGTTTCTGGATTCTCAATTCTGTTCCATTGATGAATGTATCTTTCATTGTACCAGTACCAAGCTGTTTTGACCACTGTAGCCATGTAATAAAATTTGAAATCAGGGAGTGAGAGGTTTCCAACCTTACTCTTCTTAAGCAGTTTTGGTTTATCCTGGGTCTCTTTTGTTTCCGTATAAAGTTTGTAATAGTTTTTTCCATCTCTAAAAAATGTCGTTGGAATCTGGATTGGGATTGCATTATATGTGTAAATTGCTTTGGGCAGTATTGACATTTTCACAATGTTAAATCACCCAATCCAGGAGCATGGTACATTCTTCAATTTTTGTAGGTCTCTTTTGGCTTCTTGTAGTAGTGTTTTGTAGTTTTCTTTATATAGGTCCTTTATTTCTCTGGTTACCTTTATTCCTAGATATTCCATCCTTTGGGTGGTTATTGTAAATGGTATTGCTTTCCTAATGTCCTTTTTAGCACTGTCATTATTGATATAGAGGAATCCAACTGATTTTTGTATGTTGATCTTATACCATGCCACTTTGCTGAATCTTCCAATGAGGTCTAGTAGCTTTTTAAACTGAGTCTTGGGGTTTTCTATGTATAGGAGCATATTGTTTGCAAATAGGGAGAGTTTTACTTCCTCTTTGCCAATTTGGATGCCTTTAATTTACCTGCCTTGCCCTATAGCTCTTGCTAAGACTTCCAGCACAATATTGAATAGGAG